TTCCACTAGACTCATCAGGGATAAACCCTGTCCATCTAATGGGGAGGTATTTATGTATTGAGTGGGTTACCTGTGGCATCCCCTTCCACTAGACTAATCAGGGATAAACCCTGTCCATCTAATGGTAAGGTATTTATGTATTGAGTGGGTTACCTGTGGCATCCCCTTCCACTAGACTCATCAGGGATAAACCCTGTCCATCTAATGGTTAGATATTTATGTATTGAGTGGGCTACCTGTGGCATCCCCTTCAAATGTTGTTTGTATTTCATTTTTAGGACATGTTGGTCACCCTGTGGTTATCCTGTAATGAAGCCCTTTTTGATCAATGTGGTACCATGTTCTCGCTATATGCCATCGTGTCTATAATCAGTTCCTTAGCAGGTATATATATGGTGATGAGGGGGATCATCTTGGAAAGCCATCTTGGGTTATTTCCTGTTTGTTATTATTGGTGATAGTGATGAAGATGATGATGACAATAAACAGTGATGATGATAATAATGATGATAATTGTGGTGATGATGATAATAATGTTGATGGTAATGACAGTGATGATGCAATGATGGTGAGGATGTTAATGATTGATAGTGATATTAATTAAGATGATGACAATGACTATGATGATGATAATGATAAAAATATGATAATTTGCTTCTACAATCATTTTGATATCAGGGAGTGAACTTGCTGGTGATTTAGAATCTAAAACAGCAGATGACAGTTCTGTATCACCTTGGTGGGAACATGTGCGTATCTCTCTTGCTGAGTCTACCTCTGTTGGAAGGGCATTGTCTCTTGCAACTGTTTGCCGTAGTGTGGCCTTGGGTATGAGCACTGCTGCTAAGAAAGTGCAGGTAAGATTTAGAAATTGAGAACATGTTTTTGTTTTGCATGACATTTTTTTGCACAGAATAATAAAGCTCAAATCCTTGTGGTTGTTTTATTTTCTTCTCACAGAGTGAAGAGAAGGAGGAAGAGTGTCAAGCACTGTTTGTAGGAGAATGGGTGTCGATATCAGTTGAAATAGAGCGGTGGAATCTGCTTATATATCAGTTAAATGACCTGATATCATTAAAGATGTTTATTGATCGCTTACCGGTCATCTTAGGCCAGGAAACCCGTTCTTTGAACTGTAGGGAAAATGGTTCTGAGCGTGTGGAACTGTCTGTACTTGGTGAGTAGAAACATGAATATGTATAGATATTGATGCACAGTGCATCATGGGATCTTAAGGGTATAGTTAAACTAGACCAAGCGCATTATGACCTTGGTCTTTTCCATATCAGACCATGTGCCATTCCTTTAGTATTATTTCTTTGTTTTCCTAGGTTTTCTTAGTGCAGGTAGTGGAGCAGCATCACATGTTCTAGCGCAGTTCCTCGTACTCTACAATGTTCCTCCAGAGTGTCTTGGACAGCCAAAGAGACTGGGACCCATAACAATGGAAACACCAGAGGGGGAGGGTGGGGATGATGATAGACCAGAGGAAGTAGACATAGAAGTAACAGATGAAAATGAACTTGAGGGTGAGATGATTTTTTTTTGTGAAATTAAACTTCATTTCTTTTGTTTTTATCTTCTTTCTCTATTAATTACCCACCGTACTGGGCTGTCTGTCCGTCCATCTGTCTGTCCGCCCATCTGTCTGTCTGTCTGTCTGTCTGTTAGCCTGTAATTGTGTAACATTTTTAATGCTTTAATAGGTCTTGGTGAGTTACGTTCTAAATTCCCTAACAGTCTGCATCAAGATATTTTATGGGCTTCCTGTGCCATAGAATGTGCTGTGCAATGGGCTGCTGAAAAGGAGGTAATTTTGGACAAAAATGATTCTATCTGAATGGGAAGCACAGGTGGCATAGCAGTAAGAGCGCTYGCCTCTCACCAATGCGACCCGGGTTTGAGTCCCACTGAGCTCAGTGTCGTATGTGAGTAGAGTTGTTTGTTGGTTCTCTCCTGTGCTTCGAGGGTTTTCCRGGTTCCCAGGCTTTCCTCCCTCCGCAAAAATGAACTCCTAAATTCCAATTGGAATGACAGTGGATGAATAGCTACTCTGTAGAAATGCCACTGCTAGATCCCATTTATTTTATTTTTTTATTTAAGTGGGATCGTTGAGTAATAACCCTAGTGTAGAGAGTACAAGGTGTGTTTCAACAGTATGTACTATATCCTGAAGATCATCCTCAGATGGATATATAATATATGATATCCTGTCATTATAGAGTATTGACAAGTTGCACTTAGCAGTTGCCCATATTCAGTGTATTCATTGTCTTGGCTTAAAACACGGTAAGCATATGAATCAAATTGGAAACTGTGTCTTGATTTAATGATGACAATGATAAGAACATAATGGTACTGATCTTGATAAAGACCATGTGGATGATGACAATGCAAGCAAAGGTGATGGTGATAGTTGTAATATTGTTGATCAACTATTAGGCTGATGATGCTGAATTATGATAATGCTGTATTCGCTGAGTGTTTTTCCAATATACTGGCTTTTTTCTATACATTTTATATTTCAAATTCAAATAATAATTCTCCAGGAATATCTGTTTTACTCTGGAAAAAGTATTTCAAGGAGAAGATTTCTGCAGCAGTATCGCTAATGGAGAAGGTAATTGCCTTGGATAATGATGATGTTGATGATGATGTTGATGTCGATGATGATGATGATGTTGATGATGGTGTCGATGATGATGATGATGATGTTGAAGATGGTCTTGATGATGATGATGATGTGTTGTTGATGATGTGTTGTGGTAGATTTTATCACCGTAAATATGAAAGATAATAGACTGTCGTTTGGGACGTTAGTCCTTCGTCCGAGTTGATGATGATGATGATGACGATGATGTTGATGATGTTGGTGATGATGATGATGGGGGTGGGGGTGGCGGTGGCAGTGATGGCAAGATGGTGATGATGATGATGATATTGATGGTGATGTTGATGATGATGATGCTGATGACAACAATGACAACGATGATATGCAACTATATTTAGAGAGGGTGATACATGACAGTTGCAACTGATAAACTTGTGGTCCTCCATTTTAAACATCACTGAGAGAGAGATGGGCCTACCATTCTATAACTTATCATCATTAGCCTATAACATGTTTTATTTTGTGCAGGTTGGCAAAGCTCCCAAGGATCGACTTTGTCGAAAGGTCAGTACTAACTCACCATATTCCAGATCATGGAAGCTAGTAGTCGTTGTATCTTGAATTCTCTTATTCCTTTCATGGTGATATATAATTTGTTCCTGTAACTCATGTTTGACATGAAATAATGACTCTACAACATGTTATTAAGCTTTGGCATGTTATAAAAAACATTATTATATCCAGGCAGAGCAGCTGTGTTTTGAAGCATAATATCTGAGCTTGGAAAGAAGGGAAGAAAGAGAAAGGAAACTAAAAATAAGATTTTTCTTTGTCAGGCCATAGATGTAAGCTACTCTTCTCTAGTTGAATTCCTTAAAGAAGTTAAACAGATCCTTGAGTTAATATCACAGGTAACAATGTATTTCTGGAATCTCTGGTTTTTCCTTCTTGATAAAGTTTGGTTTTATCGAAGCTCGTTGCCATGCATAAATAAAGTTAATATGAAATGCAATACAACTACAATTGCCGTCAGGGTGTCCACACAAATGTGCTTTACCCTTCAATCCAGTAATAGCATGATATGAAAAGGTCATGGCATGGCAAGTTTGTACTGTTGCTAATGGCATGGTCATGGTATGGTATTGATGACTTCTTCCCTTGAACCAATAATTACAGTGCACAAGATCAAGACTATGCATGCAATTAGAATGCTTGGACACCGCACTGTTATGCAGTACTGTAATGTTTTCAGTTGTGATATCTGTTATATTATACAAAATGATTTGTTGGACTTACAGATTGACATGTCAGAGGCGGAAGTCTTGGTGTTGCGGAACGAGGATTTCTGGCACCAAGGAGATGGGTAAGTTATTGTAACTAATGCTTAGCCTCTATGATAAATGATACAAAAGGGATTAACTAATGTCATGCTTTGTAATGTCTCAACTTTTTAAAGCATTCGCAGGACCATCATTGAAGAGGCCTTAGATCAGCCCACCAGTAATGTCCCTCTCATAGAGCTCCACATCATATTAGTGACCATTATGTGGATCATCATGGGGCTTGATATTAAAAGTGTGCGACCACTGTCTCTCTTTGATACTATGGTATGTGAACTTGTGATTGATGTAAAATTCTGGGGAAGCTTGTTAGTTGCCATGCAACATGTTCTTACGGCACATTTTATTATTCTTTTTTTTCTTCTGGTTCATAGACCAAAGGAGCATTCCTAAAGGACCTCAGTACCAGTCCACCTCTGTCTACTGGTTCTGTAAATGACAGTATCACCCAGGCGCGACTCAAGGTATCTACCATCTTATTATTCCTAACCCTATCCACTTCCATTCTTATTTATTCATCTTTTATTTGTAGTTCCTTACTCGTGCTCTTTCAACGTACATCACATCGATGTCATCAAAACCTGAGGACTCATCAGGAAACCACACCCACAAATCAAAATCAGTCGTTGATTGGCCCACAGTGATACTATGGGTTGGCAAGGAACTTGGGATGGATGTTGATCGTTTGCGCTGTAATTATGTGTGTGAGCTGTATTCAGCAGGCATGGATAGCATGGGATCTGAGGTATGAGTATTTGTTTTGATAGAAGAAAATGGTTTCCCAATTGAGGTGTTTTTGAAACAGAGAATATTCAAGATGATATATTTCTAAGGAGATGAGTAATCTAATTATCTACAGAACTACTTGCTTATGCTTTGTTAGAGGATCTCTAAGAATGCCTGAAGCTGTTTGAACTCAAACATATGACACTCGATTCATCTTGGCAGCACCTTCTCTTTGGAAGTCATTGTTAGTGGATGTAAAAACTACACAGACTTTTAGACTATTTCAAAATAACYTTATTCTTGTCTTCTAAATTTTTGTGTAGGTTCTGCTTTCTGTACAAAACAAGCAAACTATTGGATCAAGCTTACTAAGCATTGTAGGACAGCGGCTTGCCTGTATCCTGAATGAGTCTGAATCAACTAAGAGTGTCAATCAACTTTCTCGATTACCAACAAATATTAGTCGATGGATCAAGCGCCAGGTATACATGTTATGAATTACCCACCCCTCCCATGGTACACCAGGTATAGATGTCATGACTTACCCACCCCTCCTACATTTACTATTTTTCTTTACTTTTCAGGACTCTTCAAAGTTGGTTTGTCGCAGTGTACCTCTGCATCAAACAAGAGATCTTCTTGCTAACATTCTGACATTAATTCCAAGAGACTCTGCAGACTTTACATTAGCATCAAACTTATCAGACACTTTCAGATCTTTGATTTCATGAAAACAAGTGTTAAAAGAAACATCCTATCATCTTGAATGGCTCGTAATCAGATTGATGAATTTGAAAAACAAAACAGGATACATTTCATTTAACAAAAACAATTCTACTTGTTGAATTCTCTTCAAGACTGTCCAATCACATTGGGAAACATGCAGCTTATTACAAGGGACGCCAGCGGGAATTGGGAATAGAAAGGAAAAGCACAAGAATACAGAAATGCAATCTACATTCAAACCAATCTCTCACCTCACAAACTCTAGAAATATATTACAAATTCATAAAATCAATTTTATAGATTAAACCTTTTATCAAATGTTATTGGATATATAGCTTATATTTTAGATCAATACTTCCAGTAAATAAATAAATACATGACCAATGAAGCAAATAAGTTATTTATTGTTATTAATCCACTTTTAATAAGATACTGGATACTCCTGTTTCACAACATGGTTGTTATTTCTTACATATTTTATTAACATTATTTTATTTTATTATGTTTATAGACATCATTGTCTTTACAGGTGTAAAATGAAGTAAGTTCATGCCATCCAGAGATTCAGTTATGTTTGTCAACGTTACATCTACATACATAATGTAAACCTTTTCTAAACTATCTACAAGCAATGAATATAATAAATCTATCTTAGCTTTAATTAGGCCTGGTAGTAACTACACCAAGACAAAGGCATTAATATACTCTTGATTGATCAGTATGGTTTGTCATCATCAGCTCAAAGGCAAAGGAATCTGTCTGGCATAAGACTTGTTGCCCACATTACCATATTGATATCCAGATGTCCAGTCCATGAACGGGCTTTCTGATTGGCTGAATCACTCCAGAATCCATTGATTTCCTCCACAATGTACATGTATTTCAGCAGCTTGTCCAGATACTTGGAGGAGAGCTTCACTAGATCTGCATGGTTTTGAATCTTTTTGTTAATGTGTTTGACAGCTTGAAGGCCAATCGACAGACCCAATTCACGGAAGGCTAAGCGATACTCTGCAGGTTTTCGCAGTTGGTTTGAATGCCTAATGACAAAGAAATGTGATTGAGATGATAGCACTCAATAGGCAGGCCTAATCAAACTCCTATTAACATTAATCCTCAAAACAACCTTTGGAATAAGTCAGGCATAGCAAATGCACAATTGAAACATAATGTATTGGGTTTTGCAGAGGGAAGAGAAATAGAAAACTTGGATAAAAAGCCTCATATCAAGGGATAAACCCAACAACCTCTACTCATATGTTGATGCCAAGTCAAGGCCTTGAACCAGAAACCCCAGAGGTGAGAGGCAAGTACAATTATAATGCTTAAACACCCATATGGTCTGTTGATTCCAGTCCTAATATGACAGCATTATTTACCTGTTGTTAACATAAGATTGAAGGCCTTTATCACTTGCTTGTAGAAGGCTTATCAGAAGATCTTGTTCTTTCTTAATACTCTCATCTTCTATCATCATTGATAAGACACGGTAAACATCACATAGTAATCCTCCCAGGCCCAGTGGATCTGTTGTTGTCCAGTCCTGTCCTTGACAGATCTCTTTCATCTCTCTGATTTGGTGCTCAAGGTTCATGTTTGTTTTATTTTCTCTAGGCAAGCTTTGATTGATTTGAAGGTATGTTATGTACCTTGGGAGAGTAATGCAATAAATTATTTATAATGATAATGCAAGATGATACCTTTCTCTACCAAAACCTAGACTGCATTGCTTGGTGATCTTTATATGCCATACTCATAATATTGCTTCCCATCAATTCATTCTAAGCATTCTACTGCTTTGCTCTTATGCATTTACCACTCCTGGGTGGATGGTGTATTGTGTAACAGGAATTGCAACCCAATTGATAAGGCGGCTGATAAATCGAATTAGAATTTAGGAGTTGATTTTTGTGGAGGGAGGATAAACCCTTGAAGCACAGGAAAAAAAACAAATAACAGCAACAAGTCCAGCAGGGCTTGAACCCAGGTTGCATTGGTGAGAGGCCAGCACACACCACCTGTGCTTCCCCTTCCACATCTGTTGTGAAACTATTATCTACTGCCCACATAATGTCTCTCACCAAATTACTTTCCTTTTTCATGAGACATATCTAGGTACTTACCCATCTAATGGATCATGGTGGCCCATACTTGGGACAAGTGCTCGACTCAAGTCAATACTCATTTTCCAGTACATCCTCTTCCTCCCTGAACCAATGCCATATGTAAACCTACTGTGGACACCTTGAGCCAGCTCTGATGCAAACACATTGTATTGCATGTCTCCAGTGGATTTACTGACACAATTTAATGCATGCATCCATTTGGTTAGATAATGATAATATTGGCCATCTCTGTCCCACTCTAAGTCTTCATCAAATGGGTCAGATGGGCTGCGTTCCTGCATTTTCTTGCCAATCCTGAGACCTCCTGTGGTTGGATGCAGCTTTCCTTCATCTTCACTCAGACCACTTATCCAACCCTGAACAGAAATAAAGACAGTGAAAAATTGTCATAAATGGATTCAAATCTACAGATATTTGAGCTATAGCCATTCTTCTCGTGTTGTTCCTTTTTGATGTATGATTCAGTGTCTGTTATTATATATATAATTATAATATTATAATTATATATTCCTTAGTATTAACTCTATTTTTTGTTTATATTTTCTACTTGTTCATGTCATTGCAGGTGGGCGCCAATCAATAATTTCTCATCGAAAAGACGCGTAAAATTCGTCCTCTCTTTCTCAGCTAACAAAAACTCACGATAAATATCTCAACTGCATAGCAAGTAAGCCGGTTAACTTTATAAATATGATGAGCTGAATAATTCAAAAGTCATCTCACTTTTCTCTGATCATCTGGACGATGCCTTCCCAACACATTATGTACACTCTTCACGAGATCAAGAGCAAGACGGCCATACTTCTCGTCATGAGTGCGTTTCTGTAGCCCAAGGTAGTTACATACTGCAAAAGCATCTGTCCACAGATAACGACGAGGTTGAGCAGACGATAACAGGCCAGTGTTGGAAGCGAACTCTTCCATCGTACGAATGACAGTTGACAGATTTGAGGTCATCTCACCGTCTTTTGTTTTCAGTCAGGGTCTAAAATCTTTACTGGATGGACTTCGACTTGCGAAGTGGAGTTACTTGACTCAGATCAACAATAAATAAAGGATTCCGAGGCCATATTTTTGTAAAATTGAGGTAAGAACTTTACTCCTTTCTCAAGTACTCAGCTGTATTATTATGCATCACTCTTCCATCCCTTACTCGGGTTAGAATGAACGCGTCCTTTATTTAGGAGATTGGGGCGGGCAGACTTAATAATTTGCAGTATATTTTGCAGTATACAGATACAAAATAAATATAGAGTAAAAAATTATTTCAAACACAAAACAAAGTATGGTAGTTTCATTTATAGGTTTATTACAAGACGTCTGACTACTTTTTCTAAAAAGAATTCCCTTAAATAAACATGAAAATGAAAAATATTCTCAGCTATGATCTTGAATAGAACTGTTACAAAGTCAACACTCTGCTGAATATAAGACATATTGGTATAATGTATGTTTCCTATAAAACTGGTAAACCATTCAAGCTGCTTTTTTCAAGCTTTGAAATGTGCAATATTTGTCATGAATGAACTTTTAAAAATGTAGACTAAAAAAATCTTATAATTATTTAACATAAAATTTAACATAAGATGCATATATCAATATCCTTCACCATGAAACTACATCAACACAAACTAAGATTATCAATAGGACTGGCAAAGCCTGAAAAACCAGTAAATCCAGTAATTCAAACATACTGGTATTTCCAGACATACCAGTATTTCCACTGGACATACAGCTCTGAGAGTGAAAGGCATGTGGTCAAAGATAACTGCTAGTGAATATAATAGAGTACAGAACATCATTATGAAATATATTTAATCTAAGTAACATTCAGGCAAAATGTTGCAAAGTATAATTTTCTTTTGAGACAAGAAAAAGTTCTGAGGTCAAAATAGAATCATGTCACTACATGATCCAATGGACTACAGGTCCAGCATTAGAACGCGAGGGTCTTCAACTGCAGCCTTGATTTTCCTAAGGAATGTAACAGCTTCTCTTCCATCAATTAGACGGTGGTCATATGTCAGGGCAACATACATCATTGGACGAATTTCAACCTGAGAGAAATCAATCAATCCATGAAACACTCGACAAATTATGATAATTATGTTAAATGTTTATATCATACCTTTCCATTTATGGCAACTGGTCGATCATTGATTGCATGCATTCCTAGGATAGCGGACTGGGGTGGGTTGATGATTGGTGTTCCCATCATTGAACCAAATACACCTCCATTAGAGATGGTGAATGTGCCGCCATCCATGTCTTCTATCGCCAAATCATTATTTCTAGCCTGTAAAGGATATCCATCAATTATTAGTATTAATAATAATCAAATGAAATAAAATATTGAGAGTACAGCAGTAGAAAGTATATTACAGGCCTTTCTAAGTTCAACACTTGGTATATATTGTGTTCTAGCTTAACAAGTAACAAGCTATAAGGCATAATGAACAATGGATGTAACTGTACTCAAGCTAAACCAGAATGCACCATATTCCTTTCTAAGGGAAGGTACATTATTTTTTGGGGGGAAAGGGCTGGGGGATTCGCAGTTATGCTTTTAAAAATGGTATTAAGTCAACAAGGAAGTAGCTTTTGTAAAATAAAAAGGTTTGACCCACCAGGAAAAATCTATAATCTTGCTGATGACCCTCCCCTTTCAAGCTTCAGTCCTYCCCCCATGAAAATGTACCTTCCCTATGGATGGGCCTCAGTCTAACACCACCAACAACACTGTATCCAAAGACCTCTTTCATCAGGACATTCATACTCTTCCATACACCACTTGCATTAATTTCCTAAAGGAATATTGTTCTGGGGGACAAAACAATAGGCCATCTTCTCTTATGCAAATAAATCCATTGTTTTGTCCCCCAGAACAATTCGAGACTCAGTGCAAAGGGGTCTAATACTTTGCTCTAATACCCCTGTAGTTTTTGACTGCATGTTTAAAAGGTGGCTTACCTTTTCTCCTAAATAGCTTATTGTTTTCTCAATATCTGCAAAGTTCATTGTTTCCACGTTGCGAATGACCGGCACAACTAGACCCTGAGTCATCAAAATCAATTCATTAAACTTAAGAAAAGATTTGCAATTTTCCAAAAGGTGGTGAATATTATCAACTGGCAGTACCTTTGGTGTTGAAACAGCCACACTGATATCAACATAGTCTCTATACACAATTTCATTGTCTTCGATCACTGAAAATCAAGAGTAACGATTCTGGATTCATATGACATGCTTTAGTGTGATAACACAGCATATCACTTGCCTGTACATGGAGTATGGGGGAAGGAGACTAGAGATAGGGGAGATAAAGAAGGAAGCGGGACAAGAAGGAAATATAATATGTGTGTATATACATCATATATCATCACCTGCATTAACCACTGGTTCAGACTGAAGAGCATATGCAGCAGCTTTCACAAACACCGACATAAAGCCAAGCTTGAGGCCATACTTCTTGAGAAAAGCATCTTTATAAGCCTTGCGCATTTCCATTGCATTACTGGATAATAAAAACATCAATAGCAGTCAATTACTGAATATTCCATGCTGTGTGGCCATACAAAATGGTAAAGAAATAGGGGTTCCATACCTCATGTCCACGTTGTTAAAAGTTGTCAGCATTGCATAGGTATTCTGCGAGTCTTTCAGCCTCTGAGCAATTCTTTGTCTCATACGATTCATTTTAACCTGAAGAACAAGAAGTTGTTTAAAGAGATAAGATATTTCATTATGAATTATAATATTACTAATCTAACTGAATAAAATCCATATCAATTACCCTGTGCTCTGAGCGAGTATCCCTTGCAGGAACATCAGTAGATGGTGCTGATGCTGGTGCTCGTGCTTCAGGAGTTGAAGAGGAGACTTGCCTTTCATGAAGTGGTGCTTTTGGTACTGGTGGAACTGAAGGGGAATAAATTAGTGGGCAAATGAATGAAGGGATGAAGGGATAAATGGATAAATGAATGAATAGATGCATGAACATTTCAATGAGAAATCTTTGTATAATAACCTAGGTGAAATGAGTTGAGGCATGGACAAATCAGTAGATAAATCAATTATCAATAAATAGCTTTTTTGTGGCTACTGCCTCATAGAGGCGAAGCACTATGTCATCAGGTTATGTTCCTAAGTCTGTCTATAACACCACAGGAAGCCCAATAGTGCTCAATCCAAAACCAGCACAAAATACTTTGTGACTAACATCAATATAAAGTTTGATTTCATAATGACTTTCAAAACTCTGCAGTAGCCACATAAATATTGAGTGCCTATTTTTTGACTAGAGGAGAGATGTTTCTGATGAATATACCACCATGAGTGATACAATTCTTAACCACTCTAGTATATAATTGATTGGTATTATTTTCAATATTACCAGGAGGAGGAGATGTAGGGATTTCTTTTGGTGTTGATGAGGGAGTGGATGGTGTTGGAGCTGGTGCAGCTTTCTCTTTCTTGGTCTCTGCTGGTTCATCAGCAGCTGCATCATCAGCTTTTGGTTCTTTACTTGGTGCTTCTCCTTAAAAAATAAAAAATGAAACAAATTATAAGTTGGAGCAAAATAATGCCAAATAATGTTTTACAAACAAGACAATGGTTAAAATATATTATGATAATAATTGCTGGTGAAATTCAAAAAATAATAAAAGCAGAATGCTCAAATATACTGGTATGCATACATACATACATACATACATACTTTATTACTTCATCCCTTTACAGGGCTTTTCAGAAGCATTGACAAATACAAATTACAATATGATATATGCCATTATTTCTGGTCTAATGGCATGGTTATTTATTCTATTCTCTATAGATGGATATAGATACCTGTCACTCTCAGTTTGAATAGCTGTTGCTCCTTCTCAACTTTATCTCCATCATCAACAAACAGCTCTTCAATAATACCAGATGCTGGAGAAGTGACTGGAATGCTAGTCTAAAGGGTAAAGACAATAGTAAGTCAGTATAAGATATATATTATTCATCAGACAGTGACAAACAGATGGACAGACAGACAGACAGACAGACCAGAATTTTGATGTAGATATATAAAAACTGGGAGAGTCCTTGAAGTGACAGGAAGCAGATCAGATTACAAGTACAGGCTATACACTGTCATTCTATCAGGGGTATTCTAATAAATGACTATGTACCTTGTCTGTCTCAATCTCTCCAACTACTTCATCTTCAGCAACAGCATCTCCAACAGCTGCAATCATTTCAATGAATTTGTAAATCAAATTTATTAATAGGGACATTGATTAAATTTATACCATACTTGGACAGGCTTGTAGCTAGGTTAGTAAGGAGATCCTTCTCCATTGACAAACCCTGAGTGTGTAGCTGGCTTCTACACATTTTATTTATGAGAGGTGGCAGTATTGTAAAGGATCTCGCATATGGTTGAATGACGTACCTTTATCCCATCGAATATCTCCTTCCGTCACAGATTCAGCAAAGGGTGGTGTTTTGACAACAATACTTTCTTCATCATCTGATAAAACAATATCAATCATAGCAATTATCTTTCACTTAAACAATAATTGCTCATAATTATTATGGTGATGGCATCTCCCAACCCCTCAAAGGCTTCATTTCTCATAAGGTCTACATGATACTTTATTAAAAATCTCTAAATGGACAGAGGTTCTACAGTCGTAAATAAATTAAATAATGCCACTTTCTGTTGAGTACTTTATACTTACAAAGACAAGATGATGAATGAAATCCTCTAAAAATGTTAGATGCCTGACTGCCTGTAAGCAAGCTGTTGTACCTGAAACATTAATACAATTAATATAGCATAAGCATACATGATAATAACTTTATTAAAGTCTCAAAAACTTCTAGCCGGGCACAAGCGCCCTATTAATCGGGGGAGACAAATAATAAAAAAGTCCACGTTAGGTGTGTATGTTAGGTACCTCTGTTTTCTTGAAGATGAGCTTAGGACAATCGTAGTCCCTGCAAATTCAACAGGTGAAAATCAATAAAATATCGCCAATAGATACTAAGTATTCTATCTTAAGCATTGTTATTTTCGCTGGTTAATGAACAGAAACTAAAATCCTAGACATAGAAAAATAATCGAAAGACAACCGACCTCTGGTTTGTGTGATGCAAGCGCGACCATCACAAATACACCGGCTTGACTGCCTCTGGAAAAAACATCAAAATCGGCCGTGAACACCGAAGTATGACGACAATAAGATGTAAGGAATCATGTACTTACATTTAGAGAAGCTCTAAGGCTTCTAGGTAAATATAAACGGCCTAATAATTGGCCTAAACTACGGTAACAAGACATCTTTGCCTCGCCAAAATATGTACTGTAAAGACTGAACCGAGAGGGAATGAGACCTATATTCACCACAGGATTTCCAACTTACTACCTCATCATTTATTATCATTATTATCTTATCATTTATTAGGAGGCGTGGGACTGAATTTTTTGTTATATTGAAATTATACAGTTCCCATGCAACTTTCAGGTTGGAGTAAAAATGTGGCTTTCCTATCAGTTTGTCACACCGTCTAAAACACATATTCAAATATCAATCAAGTTTTTAAGGCGTTCTCTTTCATAGACCAGATAACCTTGAGGTCAGATGTACTGATTGCATCATAAAATCTTGCGTATTTTAAAGGAAACACATTTTCAAAGAGTTGCCCGCTGTCTGCGGGTTTCTTCCCCCCACCCCCCTCTTCCCCCTCTACAAAAGTTAGAGCTAGTGAACAAGAAAAAATGAACAAATTTTGGTTCATGAATAACGAGCAAATCTATCTCCCCTTAGACGAGCAATTTTACTTATCGCCACTATTTTATGCTTTAATGCTTTAATGCTTTACTGCATTAATGACCTTCGGATGAAAATAATGGATGCCCCACGGAGAGATATAGACCAAATCAAACCGGAAGTAGCAATGTTAAGGTCACTTGCCACTTTTATTTTATTCCCTCAACTTTCAAAAAAAGATTCGTTTCGAGGGTACCCTTTCGATACTAGTTAACAAGAATGCTAAATCTAGATCTCACGGTATAATAATTCTGGTACGCAGTTAACGAGGGATCTGCATGGTTGACTATTACGTTGGCTGTCAATCATCATTTGTTTGATTGTCTTTGCCAAATTTGGCAAAGCTCCGTCCAGTCTTCCCCGTCCAAGTGACGTCAGTTCATAATATGAAGAAAAGCTTTTGGAGTCAGTCAAGTCTTGTGTAGCTCTTCTTTACTGGATTTTTCTGTTCCTCGTCGGTCTTAACTGTGGCAAATCTGGCTTTCTACAAAGTCATCTGCTACCCTGGCCTCCTCTGACGACGAACAGATAGGTGGACTGTCTCCACCACCACAAAAAAGGGCGCGCCTTTCCTTGGACTGCGAGTCCGATATGCACAGATCAAAACGGACTTCAACAAGAGATGATGGGGAAGCAAGCACTTCTAATGGGGAGCACATAGCAAATGGCGATAGTAAATCACCTCTGAAGAAAAAGCTATTGTCTAGAGTAGAGGAAGATGTGGTCCGCTTGGTTGGGCAGTACCTCCAAGGCTTGGGACTCGAGTAAGTATTCAACATGTCTTCTTGTCTTCAAGAAAATTTTTCTCCCTTTTGTTGACGTGTATTTACTTGGTTTTGTATCCAAGGGGCTCAACATCTCTTTATCTTTTCCTCTATTCTTTACAGTAAATCTGTAGAAGCCTTAATGACAGAGTCTGGTTGTAGATTAGAGCATCCATCAGCCGCTAAATTTCGACAGAGCGTAATGGTTGGCGATTGGAGTCGGGTCAGTAATATTCCATGTTCTACATCGATCTTGTTCGATCTTGTCCAAGCTTCATTATAACACAATCTTACCCAACAATGCCTTTGTATTTAGGCTGATGGAATACTTAAAGAACTCAAAATCCTGGTAGAGAGTAAAGAAGATATATCGGTTTGTTGGTTAATTGCTTCTTGATATTATTTTAAAGGTCTTTGTTGGTTGTTGTATTATTTTTTAGTTTTGTTTTTGTTTTGATGTGCGTCTTTCTCCTCAATCCTTTTTATAATAAACTACATAATAATATTCTAGGATAAAAAAAATTATCCATGAATTATCTGCTTCTCATTTATCATGATTTTACTTTCATTTTTTTGTGTTTTTTATTGTTTTATAGAAAATGAGATTTTGTTTACTGGAGCAAAAGTTTCTTGAGTTTTTAGAAGACAACCGTCCTGTAGAAGCACTTCACTGCCTAAGAACTGAATTAGCTCCTTTAAAATATAACAGAGAAAGGCTGCATCATTTAAGTGGGTAAGACAATCATTAAAATAGAGAGAAGAAGATTATTCTACAGCTGTAGCTTTACTACATTTATATATTAAACCCTATACTTTTTCTTTGTGTAATCAAGAGTTACTTTATCAAAACCACAGATTTGGTAGAAAACACAAGAGATAGGTGGAGCTATTGTCTTTTGGTTAGCTATTGGGGTAGGACAAGAGAAGGGATAAATTTATTTTTAAAATACGTAATAATACCCCCATGTCCTTAGCACTAAGATGATTTGTTATCTACTTGTCATCAAAGCAGGGTTTTTTGTTTGAAAATTTAATTCCTCTTCACAAGTAGTCATCAAAAYGGTTAGCAAAGACCTGTATTTGAAGCATCCATGCTGTTACTGACTCATTTGCATACCATATCTTATGATAGTATATTATATTACGCTTCCTATTACCATACATATGATTAATATACCACATTGCTTTCTCAATCCTATGGCTAGGTTGTAAGAGACATGATCTAAATGTTATTTTTGTTTGACACTAAGCTATCAATAATTGCATTGCATTCATACACCATCTTCTCTCTCGTAATATATTGATATAAGGGTTATTCTCTTCCTGTTTGATAAGTACCTCATTATTCCTTCCTTCATCATAATATAGTTTCTAAGTCTATAATGTTTTATGACCAGTGGTTATGAGCATAATTTTTGATATGTAAATAATTATTGTGTACATAATATTTATACTTTCCTGCTGTCAAGGGATACACTGTTATGTTGTCAAAAAATGCCATGTCATATCTGTCCTTCAGTGTTTTCTTTGACTTACAGATATTGCAGTGCTGAAGTAGTTATATCTAAAGTTTTTTTTTACATTTTCTTCAATCATTTATTCATCTGGTTTCTCGTATGGTTTATAGTTAATCCGTATGGTTCAAAATAATATCATAGCAACAGTGATTTTAATTAAGCTTTGACTTCAGAAATAAAAAATCCATGCTTTTAAATTGTACTGACAGATTAGAATGTAAGATGAAAACTCTATATTCTTTTTGGCTGACCAAATAAGCCAATATGCCTTTGAGTGTGGACTTCAAACATGACCCAACACAAATAAAGACAATTCTAATACCTTTATTTATAAAAACGCTATTCATACAAATATAGCTATAACTCATTTTTTTATTTATTTGTTCATTTTATAGGCTTGTCATGTGTTCTAGTACAGAAGAGCTCTATAAAAGAGCTAACTGGAATGGTAAAGGACAAGCATCTAGACAAAAACTTATGGACAGGATACAATGTAAGTACTATGGAACAAATTTTGTTCAAGAAGGAAAATCTCAGAAACTAGTATTTTTATGATCTTGTGAAAGATGCTTTTATGAATTCACATTTGCTTAATAATATGAATTTGTTCAAGCATTTTTTAAAAGTATATAAGGGTTGTTACTTTTATTTTGAGGAGGGGTAATTCTAGATGATAACAATATAATACAAATGTTTATTGTGTATATTATTTCATTTCAGCTTATCTCCCAGCCTCAGTCATGCTTCCACCTCACAGATTAAATACTTTACTAACACAAGCAGTGGAACGACAAAAAGAAAACTGTCCATTTCATAATACTTTAAAAGATACCTACATGCATTCCTTCTCTCTACTCACAGATCATTTTTGTACAAGGTATTTAGACATATTTGTGCTTTATAATAATATTATTTACACTGTTCATTAATTTGTATATCACTGTACCAAGGAAGGTGATTTAAATGTACCGACAGCACTTAAATGGCTTCCTTTTGTTTAGTGTTGTATACGTCAGTTCCATAGGTTTCACAAACCACTCTGCTTATTAAGAAATTTATAAATTGTTATCAAAGTGAAAAGAAATCTATGGATTTCCTCTTTACAGTTCGACTACTCCAACCAAAGCCACCTGCTCAATTCTATTGTTCAGATTCCTACTTTTGATTGGCTAATTTGTAGAAAATTTGTGGAGGTGGCTTTGGTAGGAGTAGTCGCACTGTAAGACTTGATTCTAATAAGGCCTGTATACCATAAGGTAGGGTGACTCTGGTGATAGGGTTAAGTCTTTTGCTTGTGTTACCCATAGAGCACCTAAAACAAGGGTTAGTCATAGCAATATGGCCACCCTACCTCAACTATATTATGTAAAATTAATGGCTCATTCTAATATTCTTAATCTTGTTGTATTAAGGAGACAATTTCCTTGTGAAACAAAGTACACACTTACTGAACACTGTGATGAGGTTTGTAGCTTGTTTATTTATTCTTAACTACATTAGATAATTTACCATCTAAAAATAGGGCGTGGGTAGGTTAGGCCTGTACCTCTTTGCTTCAGATGTTGTAAAGATGTGCTAATAATTGAATTGACTAAGTCTTTGTTGATTATTTGTAGGTGTGGTTTGTAAGATTCTCTCATGATGGAAAGAAATTAGCCACAGGAGCAAAGGATGGAAATATAATTATATGGGATGTGACGGTGAGTGAGTTACCAAGCTGTAAGACCTTTAATCTATAGCCCCCTTCCTTCCTGCACTCGCACACACACTTTTCCCTCATGTGTACTAGTTTGTTACAATATAAAATATGGAATGTGACGGTGAGTACCAGTGAGTGAGTTAACCAAGACCTTTGATATACCTCTTACCTCAAGAACAATTCTGCTTTTATATCCCAATGCCGAGGGATATGATGAGTGGGAGGCATGCTTTATTTTCCATGGGAATGAAAGATCAAATGAATTGGTTGCCATGCTGGTTGGCAGAGAAAACAAACCAAATAAAAATTTTGTATTACAGGAAGTATGGAGGGGCAAGGGGGGACTACATGTATAGCCCCCCTAGTACCCCCCTCCCCCCAACACACACTTAAATTTCCCTTAGACTGCATACTAGTCCCTTATATTTTCCAATCTTAGCCCCCCTGACTCTTAGGATGCTCTGTGGTCCTGTGTTAAAGTACCAAGATGGTAGTTTTGATTAGGCTGACTGCATCCCAAGATTAGTGTCTGGATAAGATTGGCCTATTTTGATGTAGTTCACGGGAATAATCAATAAATGTTATTGATGCAGGGAAAAGAACCAAAAGTCAAGAATACATTTGATGGCCATTCGTATGGTGTAGCATACCTATCATGGAGTCCAGATGATACTTATCTTATAGCATGTGGACCAGAGGATTGCGCTGAACTGTGGATATGGAACACTGAAGTAAGTCGAACTTAATCTAGAGTAAAGTGTTCAGGAAAAATATCATTCAAGGGGCTCAAAAACTATCAATCAATCAATCAGTTTATTCAATCTACCTTT